TATTGCTATGAGAGATAGGTCTGAGATTTATGGCCTATGGTTTCTTTTAGGACTTTTTTTTTTTATTTCACATCTTACATTTAAGACTTTTATTCATTTTGAGTTTTTTCTTGTGTATGGTGTAAGTTGGTGGTCTAGTTTAATCTTTTTGCATGTACCTGTCCAATTTTACCAACACAATAAAAGAGACTATCTTGTCTAAATTGTATGCTCTTGCCTCCCTTGTCAAAAATTGAGCACAGTGACTTGGGTCAATTTCTGGGTTCTCTATTCTGTTCCATTGAACGACATGCCTGTTCTTGTGGCAGTACCAGGCTGTTTTGATTACAGTGGCTTTGCAGTATAACTTGTTAACTGCTATTGTGATTCCTCTGATTTTGTTCTTCTTTCTCAAGATTGCTGCAGCTTTTGGGGGTCTTTTTTGGTGCCATGTAAATTTTTGGAGTGTTTATTTTAGGTCTGTGAAATATGGCTCTGGTGTTTTAATAGGGATGGCACTGAATCTGTAGACTGCTTGGCATAATTGGGACATTTTAATGATGTTGATTCTGCAAATCCTTGAACACAGTATATTTTCCCACTTGTTTATATCTTCCTCTATCTCTATTTTCTTGTTTTCTTTTTTTCTCTCATTGATTAAGGTATTAAAAATGTGTCCTTATCCCTCCATTGTCCCCCATCCCCTCACTCATGCCCTTATCCCCCAGTGTCTGTTTCCATTGCTTATGCTTATATGCATGCATACAAGTCCTTTGATTGATCTCTATCTCTATTTCCAATGTCCTCTATTTTTTGGAGCACAGGTCTTTTATCTCCTTGGTTAGGTTTATTTCTAAATATCTTAATTTTTTGTTGCAATGGTTAATGGGATTGTGTGTGTGTGTGTGTGTGTGTATGTGTGTGTGTTTCTATTTCTGAGAGTTCACAATTGTTGTATAAAAATGACATAGATTTCTGGTTGCTAATTTTGAATCCTACTATGTTTCTGAATTCATTTATTATATCTCGTAGTGTCTTTTTTTTTTTTATTGAGTCTTTAGGTACAATATCATGTCATCTGTGAATGAGAGTTTTACTTCCTCCTTTCTAATTTGGATGCCTTTTATTTCTTCTTCTTGTTTGATCACTATGGCCAGTAATTCCAGTACAATTTTGAACAAGAGTGTGAAGGCGGATATTCTGTCTTGTTCCTATTCATAGGGGAAATGGTTTTAATTTTTGCCCATTGAGTAGGATGTTGGCTGAAGGTTTGTCATATATGGCCTTGGTTATGTTGAGGTATGTTACCTCAATTCCCACTTTGCTGAGAGTTTTTATATATATAAAAAAAGGGGTGTTGGATTTTGTCTAATGCTTTTTCTGCATCCATTGATATGATCATGTGATTTTTTGCAATGTTTTTTTTTTGTCTTGCAATCTATGCATGTGCTGTATCACATTTATTGATTTGCAAATATTGTACCAGCCTTGCATCCCCAGAATAAATCCCACTTGGTCATGATGTTTGATGTCTTTATTGTATGGCTGGACCTGGTTTGCTAAAATCTTGTCAAGGATTTTAGTGTCTAGGTTCATCAGGAATATTGGTCTGTAGTTCTTTTTCTTTGCCATGTCTTTATCTGGTTTTGGAATTAGGATAATGCTGGCTTTGTAAAATGAGGTTGGAAGTGTTATATCCTCTTGGATTTGTTGGAATGGTGTGAGGGGTATAGTTGTTATCTCTTTGAATGTTTGGTAAAACTGTTTGGGCAAGCCATCTGGACCAGACCTTTTATTTGCTGGGTGTTTTTTGTTTTGTTTTAATTACTGCTTCAATTTCGTTAGTAGTTATTGGTCTTTTCAGGTTTTCTGATTCTTCCTGAATGAGTTTTGGAAGGCTGTATTTTTCTAAGAATATGGGCTTTTTGTCCAGGTGGTCCTGTTTGTTGGAATAATGTCCGTCATAGTATTTTCTTACAGTCCTTTGTATTTATGTGGGGTGTTTTTACAGCACCTCATTCTGTGTCTGTCAAGTCCACTTCCCAGTTCTTGCCATTCCCTGGGCATCTTTCCTTATTGTAAATGGTCTGCTCAGCTGCATGTAATTTGTTAATAACAAGTGGGTGTTCTTTGATTTAGTTGTATTTCCAGTCTGGCTCAGGACGAGATGCACAATATATCAGCCAACTTGGCCACCATTTATTTTATTTTTATTTTTTACCACTTTCTGAATCTTGCTGTTAAAACCAGCCAGAGTGACCGTACAGCTTGCAAATGCACACGGCAGGCTCCCTGCAGGCTCCCACCTGGGGCCTGCCAAACCTTCCCAGACTTCCTCAGTGAAGACCCCACTGACCAATGCTGGTTTCACCTTCCCCCACAGCTGCTGTCACCTCTCACCGGTATCCTGGACCATTCTTTGTGTACTGTCCTCCACTAGATGCCAGTTCCCAAGGACAGGGGACTCTGTATTTGGGGCGTCTGAAACAGTTGAGCTCAACAGTATCCACAGCCTCAGTCTTTATATGTGTCCCTTATGCCCACCTATGGCTGCTGAGCCTCCATCCAGCCTGATTCAAGTTCTCATCCCTACAGCTTTCCTGGAGCCCACTCGCTCAAGGAACCTGGCCCATGAGTTGGCAGGAACACATTCACAGGCACCCAACCTCTCTGCCCCCTCAACCACACACCCCAGCAGCACACTATTCCCAGCAATCCAGGAACTATCACCTCATTTCAGGTCGTATATGCACAGGCAAAACTTAGCGGGGGGGTTGGACACACCAACCACAACTCATCCTCCACATGTGAAATTATATGGAGATCAAGCCTGTCCTTCTGGAAACACTTATATTGCAGAATGTTCTCACCATTGAAAATACACACCACCATATCCTGGAGAATCCATGCTACCTCCAGTACTGGCTGGGTGAGGGGGTGGAGGAGTGGCGTGCTTTATTTTTAATAAAGTTAAAGTGCAAAATAATCCCTAAAATGAAAAAAAGAGATGTAAACACCAGTGGGTCTCAGGGGTGAGAATGGGTTACCGGGAGTCATGATTTTCTAAAGGTGAACTGATTTCAGGGCCCATAGCATCAGGGGGCTTCTCCCAGATACAGAAGTAGGTTCATTTGCAGCAGGCCAGGTGCCTGGCGGGTGAGGAGGAGCAGGCCGGAGAGACCTCTGAATGGAGACAGAAGAGCCCTGGCCAGCACATCTCAGGCAGACACAGAACCCAAATCCCTCCCAGGGCCTTGCCTGGGCCTCCTCTCTGCAAAACACTGGGAAGGGCACAGCGTGCCCAGCTGCAGTGGGAACATCCGAGGCAAAGGCAGAAAAGAGTGAGCAAAGGTGGGCTGTTGCAGGCAGAGGCCCCATCTCAGAGCACCAGGGTGAATGTTTGGATTTTTTTTGGTAATCCTCACGTGAGGATATTTTTCCATTGATTTTTAGACAGAGTGCAAGGGACAGGGGAGAGGAAGAGAGAGATTGAGAGAGACATCAATGTGAGAGAGAAGAAAAAATTAGATGCCTCCTACATCTCCATATGGGCCAGGATCAAACCTGCAAGTTAGAACCACAAATTCATGCAGTCTTTATTTCAAGGCTTTGGGAAAAATGCAAAATAAGCCAATATTGGTCAAAGAGTGATTTTCTGGCATTATGCTATCCCTCCTAAAGCACAGAAAGATTGGGATCCACACAATATCTACTAACTCTAGATGATGATAGATCACAATTGTGCTTGAAAATCATCCCTGGGAGTGAATATAACCAAGAAAATTAAAGGTACTAACGAAAAAATACCTTTACTAAAGATCACAAACCAGAAAACAGGACAGAAAGCGGTTTGCAGGTTGGTGAATCAGAATTTGAAACAATTCATCACAGCATAATGTCCCTGACAGAGCTGCACGTCTTAGCTGAAGAGGGTGCCCTGG